TTGATCTCTCAGTGCCTTGATCTGCAGTATGGGTATATGCTGCATTTCATTATGGCTTTCTTCCAGGTGCGCCCTTTTCAAACATGGTGCGCACTTTTCAAACATGTAAGGTTATTCACTTACAAAATACATATAACCCACCTTTCTCCCCTCATAAGGCCACCAAGGCAGCTAACAGAGTAAAAATATACATAATAAAAAACACAACTTAAAAACCGTTAAAACAAAAAAGGCACATCATTAAAAGAATTAAAACCAAAGCTAAAATCCACACACAAAACCATAAGAACAACAATTAAAACATAGGGTGTAAAGGAGGGATCACTGATGGAATGCCAGACGAAACAAAGAAGTCTTCCCCCGCTAGCGGAAGATGGCAACAAAAGGAGATTGGCAAGTATCTGGAGTTTTGGTGCCACGAGGTGGGCTTAGGGGCCATCACTGAGAAGACCCTGTCCTGGGTTGCCACCCACCTAATCTCAAAAGGCGGGGCATATGAAACAGGACCTCAGAAGATGACTGTAGCCGTTGGGTAGGTTCATACGGGAGAAGATGGTCCTTCAGGTTATGCTGGTACCAAGGTATAGGGCCTCAACACCAACACCTTGAATTGTGTGATGTAAATAACTGCTTGCTTCCAATCAGCCTAGGAGAGCAAAGCGGTCAGCCAGCATAAGATGGGAACAAAAGGAGACTGGCAAGTATTCGTGGAGCCACGAGGTGGGGTTTGGGGGCCATCACTGAGAAGACCCTGTCCTGGGTTGCCACCCACTTAATCTCAAAAGGCGGGGCACATGAAACAGGACCTCAGAAGATAACTGTAGCCATTGGGTAGGTAAGGGTCATACGAGAGAAGACGGTCCTTCAGGTTATGCTGGTACCAAGGTATAGGGCCTCAACACCAACACCTTGAATTGTGTGATGTAAATAACTGCTTGCTTCCAATCAGCCTAGGAGAGCAAAGTGGTCAGCCAGCATGATGTAGTGGTTGTAGCATCAGACTAGGATCTGGGAGATCCAGGTTCGAATCTCCACTTTGCCATGGGAGCTTGCTGGGTGACCTGGAGCCAATCGCACACTCCTAGCCTAACCCACCTCACAGGATTATTGTGAGGATAAAACGGAGAACTATGTAGAAGAAGGAGAAGAAGAGATTGGATTTGTACCTCACCCTTCACTCGGAGTCGCAGAGTGGCTTACATTCTCCTTTCCCTTCCCCTCCCCACAACAAACACCCTGAGAGGTCGGTGGGGCTGAGAGAGCTCCTTTCAGAACTGTCCTTGAGAGAACAGCTCTCATAGAACTATGGCCACCTTGGGTCCACACTGGGGAGCAAAATAGGTTATAAATGAAGTAAATAAAGTGGAAAGGACAGTCCCTCTAAAGAATCTGCGAAAGCAACTTCAGAAGTCCGGCGCTTCACCGCTGACGTTAATGTGGGAGTAAAATATTTGGAAAGGTGTGGCTAGGAATATTTAATACAGGCAAGCTCCCCCGTCTGTGACACAGGCCAAGAAATGCAGCCCCCGTGTCATGTGCCACAGGGAAGTGGTAATCGGGGTCCTGGCGCTGTGACACCTGAAACGCCAAGCAGGTCTCGCCTGTTTTAAAAATAATGTGGGACTTGTGATTTTTGGGAGAGAAGCTGAGAGCGCAAGTGGAAGACCTCCCCG